CCACATGGTCTACAACACGTCATCGATCGAGTCGAGCTCAATCTCAACTCCCGCAAATGTTTTTTTTTTTTTTAAGACAACAAGGAAAAAGAAAAAGGGATTAATTATAAAAAACCAGCCAAGCGTGACAATCAGGAAAGGGAAAGGGAAGGGGGTACTTACAGCATACTCACACTATCACTATCTTATATGCATCTGATCGCAATTACGACCGGACCCGGATGTACCCGACCACCATCACGTCCAGAACCCTGTAGAAAAGTCCTGCTGTGAGTTATGGCCTTTACACTGCAGCGCGAAACGCTAACCTGTCATCGCGGAGCAACCACATAAAAAACGGACGAAGAAGCCACGTGTCACTCCGTGCCCACAACACGACAAAAGGCTGACATCTGTCATGCGACGACAAGCAGACACGTGTCAATGCGACCACAGGCAGACACGTCTCAATGCGACCACAGGCAGACACGTGTCCTGTAATGACGGGTTCACACTTGCTGGTGCGCAATCCAGTTACCATAACCCACCTTCATGCTGACGTGTCCAAACAGGTACCACTACGTGGCCAAAACGCGACGAGAGGCTGCCACGTGTCATGCGAACACAGGCAGACACGTGTCAAGCGATGACAGGTTAGCGTTTGTCGATGAAAGGACAGGCTGACAGGCTGACACGTGTCATGAAATTCGGTGCGCAATCCAGTTCCTACAACCCACCTTTTGCTGACGTGTCAAGCTTTCCCCGTCGGGCGCCCTCCCTTTGATGCTGACGCGTCCCCCCCTCGAATCTCCTCTGCGACGATTCCGCTTATCCCAAGATCACCCACCTACCCTCTGACCAATTAATCATACCATATGGATTCGACCTTGGGTCTGTATTTCAACAGTTCGCGGGTGTATACCAACTCAGCAAGCCCCAATCAATTGCCAATCTGACAAATTTGTGCATGTCATCCTTTTAGCGCGACGGTCACGCAAAGCCATTATATTGAGTTGAGGAGACAGATCGAATCCCGTAGCGCGGGAACTTGATGAATACAAACCAACTACTAATGAATTGTTTGGGGCCGGTCAGGTCAATGATAATATCTTTTTTTTTTTTTCAATGATAATATCTCAAGGCCGTCGCCCTTTTAAAAAGAAAAGAAAAAAAAAAAAATCCCGTAGCCATAAAAATAAAAAAAAAAAAAAATTCCGTACCTTTTTTTTTTTTTTTTTTTTTTTTGAGAAGTTGTCACTTTACATTTCCAAAAAGGACCGTAGCCAGTGTTGCCCTCGATGTGCTTGGTCGGTGATGCCTTGCCCACTGAGGGCCCCGGCTAATTTGCTAAGGGACACCGGGCCCGGTTCCCGGCTTTTATAAAGACATTGTCTCTTGAAAAAAAAAAAAAACATGCACTAAAGACAAAAGTCATGGCGGTGTGTATCTTTCCATGTTGTAGCAGAAGATTCACTCTCGGTTTGCACATTTCGGATCCAGATACAAACCGATAACCAAAACCATCTAAATTACCTGAGACGGAAACAATTGCAGTCACAGTTATACCCTGAGTCCTTTACTGCTGTGATATGGTTATGGGCACTTCCCTTCTCTCCGCATGCACAAACGACACAAATCATGGCGGTGTATTTTTCCATTTTCTAGCGGAAGATTCACTGTCATTTTGCACATTCCAAAAGAAGTGCAGCGAGGAGGAGGACCACCTCGTGGGGCCTCGCACTGGACCGTTTTCCCTCGACATATCCCACCCCAGCTTTTTTTATTTTTTTATTTTTTTTCTCTCCTTTTTTTTTATTTTTGTTCAGCCCTTCGCCGGAGCGAAGGGCCGTGTAAAAAAATAAATAAATAGATAAAAATTGTTGTAAGCTACTCAGTGGGTATTCTTTAGACAAAGGGTCTCGCCGCACGGCACACGAAACGAAAACGAAACGAGTGCATGCCCACGAAAGGTGGCAAAATACACTCGTTACTATCTATATCAAAACGATGAACCTGACCATTTTATGCAGGAAGATGCAGTCGTTTCGTTTTTCGTTTCGTGTCCCGTGCGGCGACGCCCAAAGGCGAAAGAATAGTGCGCCATATGAGCTGGGCACGTACCTCACTTTCACTCATTTAGCTGTGAGCCTCGTCTTGACGAGTCAGGGCGTCGCCGCACGGGACACGAAACGAGAAACGAAACGAGTGCATCTTCCTGCAGAAAATGGTCAGGTTCATCGTTTTGATATAGATAGTAACGAGTGTATTTTGCCAACTTTCGTGGGCAGATGCACTCGTTTCGTTTTCGTTTCGTGTGCCGTGCGGCGAGACCCTCAGTTGATGGAACTCGGACGGGGTTAAGGTGGGTTCTTCATCAAATAGGGAAAATCCATTCCGCGCTCAACCGCAACCGGGGTCAAGCTCCAAGGGGATTTCGTAAACGGAAGCAAACGGAAGCAAACGGAAGCTAGGTACCTTGAGGGCAGTGGTTGGTGGTCCCCACCACCTCAGAGGGGTATCAGTTGTCGGGCAGGCGTTGATGCTTAATCGCAACCGGGGTTAAGGTGGGTTCTCACTTACAGTCTCATCCATGGATTAGGGGGGTACTCTGCAGACTGACTGTAGAGGGTTCAGCCTCATATCTTTCTTGACGAGTCAGTTGATGGAACTCCGACGGAACAGTCTGTCACAGCCCCCCCTCGTTTGCTGTCCTCTTCTCCCTCCCTCCCTCCCTCTCTGCCTACGGTTTACCGTCGGCAGTTCTGTTTAACGATTTATATATACATATATAGATATACATATATATCGTCAAATAGAACTGCCCGGTAAACCGTAGGCAGAGAGGGAGAAGAGGACAACAAACGAGGGGCTGTGACAAACTGTTTCGTCGGAGTTTCACCGACTCATCAGGAGGCTGAACCCTCAACAGTCTG